TGACTGTTACTACTGACACTGATACAGACACTCATGGCACATGGAAACAGTTTGGATGACACCGCCACTGGGAGTATGTCTCTTTATCTGTCATCTGGAGATACACTGACAGGGTATGTATGGTTTGTTTTTATGATTTGATGGTTTTGTAGTACTCAGCATCAGCAGTCTTCAATTGGACAGCCCAGCAAACGGTTGATGGATGATGACGCGCAGGAGGCAGCCAAGTTTGGTGTCAGCAGAGCAGTAAATTCACAATATGTTATGGCAGGGTAACAACTATGTTTGTATGGAGTCTAGAAGGTGCCATCAAAATAATGCTAAACATGTACGGTGTTTAAATATAATCGATTATATTAAAATACAGATAATAAAAAAAAACATAACAAATTGATTCAATTAATTTGCATATAAATTATGCATCAATAAACTCACAATAAATGATTAATTAATAATAAAATATTGAAATGAAATTGCAAAAAAATGCCCTTAAAAAGGGTTTTAAATTTGACGATTCATTATTTACAAATGTGCCAATCATATTACATCTTATTCATCATTTGTTTCTTGCTTTAACATTTACAGTTTATTTTGTTATTACTTGGATCTAAAGAGAGATCATTTAAAGTTATGTAAAGTTCCACCAAAGTCCCACCTACCAAGCAGCAGCAGGAGCAGTGAATGGTCCTTTTTTGTCAGTCAGGTTATAATGAAACACATGATATATTCGTGTGGCACACTGCAGTCTACATAACCTTGAAATTACAAAAAGTAAAAGTGAGTTTTTCAGGCACACATTGTAGAAATGTTGATTGAGTTTGTGTATATGGGTGCAGGCAGGCCTGGTGTAGCTACCATTGAGGGCACTGAGGTCAAGTCTTCGTTTCTGGGAATTTGGGGGGCTTTAACAACTAGAAGAGGAATTAACATTTTATAATTACACATGGTGGGTTTTGAAGGCTAATTTCTGAATTCTAAATATCTCTAAATTTGACTTTATATTCAAAAATACTCATTTAGAAAACAAAAATAAAGTGATTTAGTATTTCTCACCAGAACTATTTCCTGCCGGTGTGGAGAAGGCTTTGTAACAGCATTTAAACCATCATGTAGGAGCATAAAATGTATAGAAATTATAGTAGGACATTTAAATGAAGGAATAGAATGAGAAAATGTTCATATTTATGTGGTGGCTTATCAAAAATATCTTTGTTTGGAGTTGCAATGGGAAGATTTTGGGTGACTGACTTTGTATTTGTAAAAGTACCTGTTTGAGGCTCTGTGTGGAAGGGAGACACTGACATATTTGGTATATTTTGCTCCTAGAATTAATTCTTTACCATAGCATAATTGTCCACAATGACAGTAATAAGCAGTCAGATAAGTATTTCCTTGAAGAACAAATGAGTTCTTAGTAGACTGGCTTGTTGTTGGACCTTCCTACTACATTATATGTGCATAAAACACCCACAAATGTGTCCAATTTTCCTGTAAAACACTAATCCACAAACATCCATATTTGAATCACTGCCCACATCTCTGATTTGTTCAGTGATTCAGAAGTAAATATGTCTAGGGAAACAAAAAGGCAGTTCGGTAAATATTAAACACAGGATTGCTTCAGTGATTAATGCGAAAGTTTGCATACTGTAAACATGTTGAATTTACTGTCACTAGGCTACTTAATTATATATTATTCCAGGCTTATTTCAGGATTTAATTCAGGTAAACAAACATATTAATCAAAGTTTTTATGAGTGCACAATTACCCAAAAGATCTGACTTCAGTTCCTCCCAAAACCAGGGAAAGTAGTTCTCACTAATGCTAAAACACACTTTATATCTTTATATCTGTTATTGTTAATATCAAGAATTTATCTTCTCATTTTAAAAATGAATGCAAATTTTCTGCTATCATTTGACATTTTGTATGCTAAAGTGTTAGCATGGAGTGTCAAGGTATAACAATTAAATGGGTATGTTGATGTAAAAGGAGGTTTAGCTAAATGAATATTGTTGAAAAATGGCAAAAACCTAGACAAAAAACTCATTCAGACATTTGAAACACAACGAGTGAGTGAACAAATAAAAATGGACTGAATCAATGAACAAAGTCATGAATTCACTGACTGAATAAAGGAATAAGAGAGAGGGGAGCAAACTAGGAAGGAGGGAGCAAGGAAGGAGGAATTGTCTCTAGATTAAATTAAATTAAGATGAAAACAAATTATTTTAAAAGAAATAAAATCATTCCTCATTCCTCTTGCTTCGGGCTGCTTTATTCCATTGCTAATTTTAATTAAGAATACAAAAAGAGAAATTGGAATTTCTGCAGACTGAACAGAGACCCCATAACATGAAAGGAAAACAGTTTTTTAGCTCTTTTCATTAAAGTAATATGACACTTGCTGAATTAAACATTTTTCACTCTAGTACAGAAAACTAATATCCTGAAATATTCACACTCTTACAGGGGTTTGCTGAACATTTTGTCTTTTAGGACGGAGCTGCTGACGACGGTGTGCTGCCAATTTTGGAGAAATGACCAGTGAGACAATGATTAACCTGGCTGCCAACGAGGGTGTATGTGTGTCACTGTCAGAGGTGTCAGTGTCAGTGTGTGTGTACATGACAGGAGGTGAAAGTCTGGATGACGGACATAGATAACAAATAAAGCAAAGCATCTGACACAGACAGAGCCGAAGGACAGAGACAGAGAGACAATATGCAGGAACACAGACTGTGACAGTGTTTCTTCTCCTGCATTATTGCTGTTTTGAGTGGATAGTCTTTTGTAATAGGCAGTAAATCAAACTCAAAAGGATTGTATTTCATCTTAAAAAGCATTTGTTCTAAAAGTGTTTTCTGGCTCGCTTGGTCCAATGCAGCCAGCAGGGTATAAGTGCCATTTACAAGTACAGCAGCAGCAGCAGCAGCACACAAGCTGCGACTATGTCAAGGTCTGAGGAAGCAGTCAGAGTCTGATAGAGCAAGAAAAAAAAACATTTTTTTTTCTACTGGAGAAGCGGGAACAGGTTCAACAGAAATACCAGTGGTGAATAAAATCTGTGCAGGCTGCAGGCTCTACCTTCTCATCCTCTGCTCCAGCTGCAACTTCAGCTCCTGCAGCAAACGAAAATAATCAAATCCTCAACTAGTCCAGCGTCTGGCTCCATAACCTGCGGCAGTCTCAGGTAATACATAAGTGGGCTGTGTGTGCGTGTGTGTGGTACTGTATTTTCAGGTGACAAGATGTTTTGAGTCTATGAGGTATTCAGCAGACACAATAATGTTAACACCTCAGTAAATGCATGTTAAGTTAGAATTAATACAGTTGTTTTTATTAGAAAGATGGATGTGTTGGCTTGAATGCCAATTAGGAGCATTTGAATGAGGTCTGGCAAACAGCACTTGAGTTTTCAAATCAACATGAGACAACTAACAAAAGAGTTTCAAAAGGGGCAAATCATCGGCTGCGGCTGCACTGGTCTAAAACAACGCAAAAATCTGGGGAACTATCTGTAAAATAAACACATACTGCACCAAAAAGGAAGAAGACTGGTCAAATACTATCAACACTAATATGACATGCAACCTATGTGACCTTCATTTTTCATGAAGTATTGATGTAAATTTGACCACTCAGTCTTCTTCAGATGAAGCATGGTTTGGGTTTAAATGTAGTACTGTAGTTTGTTGAGGTTGTTCTGGCTTATTAACTCAGTCCCAGATGGACTTTGCCACATACAATAACACAATTCCCTGAACACAGATAATACCGCTTTAACGTCATATCGTACTCTAACATGAGCAGCCAAGCCAGGCAGTTTAACCTTTCACATCAATCTATTAATCCAGTTGTAAAGTAGCCTAAATAAGTAGGCCTGATTCAGAGATAACGGGAGTTTTGAATGGATCATGATAGAACATCTCCCATGGGATAAAGGTTTATAAAAGTACCAACAAACCAGTGGCAAAATGGCTGAAACCCACCTTTTGCTAGCAGTTACATCTAATTAAAATATAAAAAAACACTACCACAGCTGGTTCAGTTTATTTAAAAGGAGCTAGTGTAACACACCACAGTTTGTATGTGATTTCACTTGTGAACAAGCAATTAAAGTTAACTAGTTTGCTATCATGATAAAAATAGCTAACTTGAAGTATTTTTCTAGTGTGGCTAGGCTAGTGGGAATATGAACCCTCTCAAGTCAGAAGAATGGGAGGTATTTAATGTTCTGTTATGTTATCCAAATAAAATGAAATGAATTAATGGTAAAATTAACTGAAAATTAAAAATATTTTTTTTTTTTGTCAGCTAGCAAACTAGCTTTTATTTTGTAAATGAAGTGTATCACGTTGTTAACCTGCTTGACAGTTCCCGAGCTAACAAAGCCAACAGTTGTTTGTTCAGTTTAGCATTGAAGTGAGCGTTCAGGTTGCTTGTCATAGCAGCAGTTAAAGTGACCTGTTTGACAGATAACAAAGCTGAACACCAGTTGCTCATTCTGCTTAGCTAACCTGAAGCTACAATCTGACAGATTTCTAAGTAACTTAAATATAGAGAAACATTTATCAGACTTTTTGGAACATGATTGAAACATTAACTGACAGAAACAACAAGGCCCTGCGACATCATGTAATGCTCTCACCCTAGTGACTGATAGATATTATGCCATTATTGCACATCGTCACTTTGCCATAATTAAACCAGTCAAAGAACCGGTGGTCGTATGAGGGTTAAAACACTGTGGATGGAATATTAAATTTGGGTTTAACCTTGAAAGATTGACTATGACTGACGTGAAGGATCATATTTATGACTTGAATGTTGATATGAAAGCTATTTTATAAGAATCAGAATATGAACATATAAATTACACCCCTCTGCTGCAGACAAATGATTCTTTATAGGTTCAGCAGGAGCTGATGCCGCTGTGTCAGGTTGTTTATCTCCTCTGTGTGTTTGCATTTGGGTCTCCTCTATCACAGTTGTTGCCATGGCATCAGCAGCTCTGGAGCTGATGGGCTTTTTCTTGGGCCTGCTGGGGATGCTGGGGACCCTGGTCGCCACCGTGCTACCGTACTGGCAGATTTCTGCCCACATCGGCTCCAACATTGTCACGGCCGTGGCCAACATGAGGGGCCTGTGGATGGAGTGTGTCTACCAGAGCACAGGGGCCTTCCAGTGCGAGACCTACAACTCCATGCTGGCTCTGTCCTCCGACCTGCAGGCCTCTCGTGCCCTCATGGTCATCTCCCTGGTGTTGTCTACCGTTGGCATTGCTGTGGCGGTCCTGGGGATGCAATGCACTCTCTGCTTGGAGGGCTCGGGTGCAGTTAAGAGTCGCGTGGCAGGCACTGGCGGGGGCCTGTTCCTTGCTGCAGGTTTCCTGTCACTCATACCAGTGGCGTGGACCACACATGAGGTGGTCCAGACTTTCTACCGACCCAACCTACCTGCCAGCATGAAGTTTGAGCTGGGGGAGTGTTTGTATGTCGGTCTGGCCTCTGCGCTCATCTCCATGCTGGGAGGGGGGATGCTGTGCGTCTCATGCTGCGAGGAGCAGGACGGCGGGCGTGGAAGACGCCTCGGCGGAGGGTATCCATATCCAGTCGGAGGCGGCATGCCGGGCGCAGGTGTACGGACAACCTCACAGACCTACCGCAACCCCACCCTGCAGGTGGGGGGCATCAACACAGCTAGCAGGGGGCAGATGCTGGTCCGCAGCACCAGTGGCAGTTCCCAGCTGAGCACACATGAAACGCAGGGAGCCAAGAAGCCCACTGCAGCAGGATATGACATCACAGGATATGTCTGAGGCTACTGTCACTCCATCACACCTTTGTGTAAAATGTGTAACTGTAGCAAACTATTTTACAGTTTTGTCTCTGGGAGTGTTTGATCTTTTCCTACGACTGCACACGTTTATAGGCGTAAGATGTCATACATTTCCACTACTTTGATAGCAACTCACCTATTATGTAGAAAGGCCACGAAAATGAGCAGCAAACTACACACACAGAGGTGCTGAAGATGACTTCCAGACTACCCCTTGATCGTGTTTATCATTTCATACCACATGCGTATGGCATCGTGTCTGTGAAACCAGGGTTTGTGTGTAGGTGCCTGGCAAGTGTATATTCGCAACATTTGTGAAAAATATTATAACACACAATATAACACATTTGAGGGTGTTCACTGCCTCACTGCCCAGCCACACCTAAAGGTTTGGTACCACATGGTGCCTATTGACAAAGTACAACATGTTATGATTGGAGGTGCACTTTCACAAATACATTTTTCAAAGATCCAGATTACATTACAGACATTTGCGATCATCCTAACCTCAGCTGCCGTGTTCTTTCTCTACATTAAGCCAAGCAGACACTCACTATTGTAAGAAAATAAAAATAAAAAGTGTATTTTAATGGCATCGTATGTCAAATTGATTGGTTGGTGGAGAAATGCTTGGATTCTTTGACTGTTTAAACATTCTGACATTCAGTTGATTTTTGGTAACTCTTATTTGGACAGTCCAGTGTTGATGCTCATCTGCAAATACTACGCAACACATTACAGTCTCTTTATTGACAGTTAGTTGATACTCTAGTGGACTGCCCAACATGAAGAGTAACCAAATCAAAATGTTATTGTCTTCCTGATGACAATTCAGAACATAAGATTTTCAAAGATGTTTTCACATTGATTAATATTGTGCCTTATTATTGTTATCATAGTGTGAAAATGTGTTTGGGTTGAGCAGCGGTGGCAGTGAAACTAGTTGTGGTCTTTTTGTTTCATTCTCCCTCGGTTGATTGTTCACGATGGCTGATGTTTTCAGGGATGTATCTACTAAACATAAAAAGAACCTTATCTCAACTTGTTCAAGCCAAGCAGCAGAAACTGTTTCTAGTTTGTTCTTTATTTGGAAATAAATGTTAACTTTTCTTATTGTCATTTGTTGAATCTTTGCCACCCAAAACACTACATTATGCAACATTATACAGCATGCCATGATTGTTAATGTATATAGATAGCTGCAATAAAAAGAAAATATTGTCCAAAAAACGCAATATGGACAGACACAAGAGAAGTTGTAGGTGTTGATGAGATAGCTGCAGAAATATCAGAACAAATATATTTTTGAAATTGTTTCCCTTGAGACATTTAAGTCTGTATTGTATAGAAATATCTTAAAAATACAACCCTTAAGGTACCGCATAAGCATACAGTAACTGGCACATGCAGGCTGTTTTATATAGCTGTTGTTAATGAATAAAGACTCAGGTGAGTTTCTGTGTTTTTACAGTGTAGGATGAGAAAAAGATCACAGCCCTGAACTGAAGGCAAACAGAAGATGGACACAAACAAACCTAAACAAACAAAGTTCAGCAAACTACTTCAGTCCGATCAATACGCAGTTTCAGTTTGACTTACAGGGGGATCGTGAGACCGAAATGCACACGATTACTGGGTCACTTTACAGTCAATCAATTTGTGATAACACGTCTGAAATTTTGCGGAATGAATGACTCAAAGCATAAAAATACATTAGGTAATGACCGGATCTTGATCCTCTTTCAACTAGCACTACAGGTACTGGCTCCTCTCCAGTAGAGAAGGTCTTGGGTCTGTGATAACTTCTCTGAGTCTGGGTCTGAGAGGACTTGAGAACAGTCTAAAGATCAGAGCTTGAGCATTTTATATTACTAAGGTCATTAGCATTGCAGGACTCCATACAGGCCTTTATATATGTCTGTGTGGTCTTTATGTGCATTGCCTTCAAACAGAAAATCAAGCCTCAAGGTGCAGTTTTTTGCAGACCAGTAAAGATCTTTAGTCCTTTTCATAAACTCAAACTTAAAATATTGCAGACCACAATCCCTGGTAGTCTAGCCCGGAGGGGAAACTGGAGTCCGATCGGGATACTGAACTGGTTCAACCAACAAGCACCTGACTGAGAGAACACCAGAGATAACCGAGGACACGTGCACACACACAGTTTGGGACTACGGGGGAGACAAACACAGTCTCAAAAACATAGAGTTGATGATCCTGAGCACCGTTTGTCACAGCGGTGTGTGCAACCAGCAGGGCCACGCCAACGTTTCCTCGTGCACCGGGAGATTCAGATTTTTAGACAAAATAAGGTGAACAAACACCAAATGAAAGCAGATTTTACCACTGCAGTAAACTGATACAATTATAATATTATTACATTTAGATCAGAATAGTATAAAAGAGTCAGCATGGTTACTGTATGGCTTACATTTTCTGCATGGGAAATAATAAAGCTACAGTTAGCAAAACTATCCCAACAAAGACTCTCTCCTGGTAAACATTTTAGTTTAGTAATGCTACAGCAATGTGAGCAGTGTGAGGATAGAAAACAAGATGAGGAAACACATAAACAATAAGAATAAACAAACTGTATTTAACTTACGAGTGGTTGTGTGCTTTCCTTTCAAAAGCAGACTAATCTGTAACGACTGAATGGCTCCACCTAGTGTCCAAAAGAACAACTACAGCAAATTTTAACCGAGGAGTCAACTAAAGAGCATTTCAACTGACCTTCATGTTACGCTGCAGGGTAGCTGGTTAATATGTAGACTGATTGTAAAGTCTGTGTGTATCAACCCAAATAAAAACTGTACATTATGTCTATTTTTGTAGTGTTCTTTATACAAGCAAACAAGCAGTTTCATTCACCCATTCATTCACGATACCACGTGCTGGAAGTGCATCCCTGACTGAATATACACGCCTGCAATTATTGATTACATAATTAATATAATTACGATGAAGTCAGAGAGTTCAGTGTCTGTCTGTCTGACCTGCCTGCTGAACTGTTCTTATTGTAATTTGTTTTTCATTACATTATTTTGAAGCCTGCTTGCTTACATTGTCATGAGTCCTGTTTGATTGAGATGAGAATAAAAAGGTTACTTAAAAAGAATAAGTTACTGCAACACCAGAAACCTCACGACAGACAGCAGTTTAGGGCAAAGAAATGGCATTTATTAATATGAAACATGACCTTTAGTCATGAAAAAATAAATAATATACAGTCACACCCATCTCAGCCTGTTTTTCTCTCTGGAGGATCCATGTTGTCGTCTGGAATCATTTTTTATTTCTTCTCCTCTTGCTCCTTCTTGTCCTTCTGTTTCTCCTCTTCCTGTCGCTCACGGCCAAACTCAACCACCAAAGGTTTCCCTAGCAACCGGTATCCATGGACCAGCTGCAAGGCTTTCTGGGCTGTTTCAGCATCTGCCAGAAGAAAACAAATACACTTAATAACAGATCTAATGTGTAATGGAAAGAACACAGCTTAGATCATTATAGCTGCTGGTCACTTTGGTCCAGAGTGAAACAGATTGCCTTCAGACCTGTTCCACACCATCGCGGCCAACAATTCCCTGGTTGCAGTTTTTTTTTCACCTCTTGTACGTGAGAAACTGCTTCTCACCTGGCAGAGTGATGAAGGCTTGACCCTTCATCCTTCCAGTCAGCAGGCGGTAAAGGACTGGCGGCCCGTTTTCCTGCTCGTACCTGGAGAACAGCGCCACCAGCTGGGCCACAGACGCCTGTGCACACAGGTTCTTTACACACAGCACCTACAGTGATACGGACAACATCACACACACTTTCAGTACCATAGACATTTAACGTACGCATCCAAAATCTTAACTTATTGTTTTAGCTCATGTCCTACCACTGTCACACTGTATATCTAATGTTATGAGGGTGTGGTGCAGATGTGCCAGTATACAACAACCATCATCCTTTTCTTCTGACAGACTGAACCAAGTCCAATTTATGAGTCAGTGCTTGTTAAATGACTGAGAGGATTTATTTCATGTTAATGCTTCATCATCAACAGTCTCAGTGAGGTGCCCATATGACCATTGAAATTCCTTGTTAATAATAGGTAATCATTCCCCCCGTTGATGCTGGCCATCAGGATCCATTCCTAAAGCCCTCAGGAGCGGTGCACCCAGCGGTGCCTCGAGGGGTCCCTGAGGGTCATAACGGACACATCACATCCACACACCAGCCTGTTCTCTGGTAGAAGATACAGGGTTCATAAATCATGCAGCAGCAGACTGAGGAGCGTCCGCCCCCCCCCCCCCCGGCCCTAAGACTACTGAATTAGGTATTTTCATCAGCGAAGTATCTGTCAACCATTTTCTCAACTCACTGATTAACTGTTTGGCCTATAAAATGTCAGAAAATGCCCAAAACACAAGGTAATGTCCTAAAATGTTTAGTTTTGTCCACAACCCAAAGATATTCAGTTTACTGTCATAGAGGACTGAAGGAACCAGGTTCATCAACCCTCAAGATCACCTGGTTTACACAGTAACAAGATGTAGCTGGTAGATGTAGCTGTTAGTACCTTGGAGGGTTTCCCCGGCTGGTAGTTTCTGAACCTCGGGATGCTCCGGATCCCTTCTTCAGATTCACGGTTCTTTAGGATTTCTTCGTCTGAGATGGTCTCAATCTCCCCTCGGACAGTCAGCGGACCCCCTGACCGCGCCGTCGCTGTTCCGCACAGACTGCCGATTGGCTGGCTTATATCTATCTGTGTTGGAGGAGCCAGTGGGGCTTTCCCCGGTCTGTCCTGAGCGAGCTGCTGCTCTGAGGTGTCTGACCTCGACTCTGGCAGCACTGACGAGCTGCTTTTCTCACCCTGCAGTTCAGATTGATGGTCAGAAGTTTCTTTTGATTGGCTGTTGCCACTCTGCGAGTCATGTGATTGGTCAGATACAGTTCTGTGTGTTGGCAGCCGTGATGCTCCACTTGTTTCTTTTTGAGAGTGCTGTAGTGAAGCTTGTTGTTTTCCCTTCATGAGAACATCTCTGTACAGAGAGTCCATTGGATCAGACGACGACGACTCCCCCTGCTGGCCTTCCTGGTTATCTTCGTCTGTGAACAAAAATACAACAACACAATTGAGATGTTATGACACACACTTAAGGGACATGACAGTAACTGTATTCCTCTCCTCTGTGCTGTTGGACAGTTTTATTTATCCTCCTGTTTTCCTACTTTACTCATTTTAATAGAAAAGTCTCTTTCATGTTCCAAACTTTTCTGTCCTTGTCCATTGGATTTGAGTGATTATATGGCATATTTTTGGGAAAATCTGAAAACTAACATCATTAAAAAGTCAGTAAATGAAAGCTATGTTGCCAATCAAAATATCGGCCAAACAGCAACTTATTGAATTCCACACTGGCAGTTGCATGAAGAAACCACGACATATTTAAAGACTTCTAAAACTAAACTGGAGATTATGGAAGGCTATAATTTGAGGCTTGTAGATAACATAATTTTACCTTTCTATGAACTCTGTTCTAAAGCTGTTCATGAAACTGAAGTCTACTTTAACGTGAAGAGTTTCTGGGTACGAAGAACTGTTAAATGACTGAAATGTGACAGCAAATGTGTCTCTCTTTTGCTTCTTTCTGACATCTAATTCACCGTTTTGTCATTACAAAATGTTCAGCATGTCCCTCATCGGGCGGCGGACCCTGTTTAGTGGACAGCACTTCGTACCTCTGTGGTAAAGCGCAGTGAGGAAACCCAGACGGTCATTTCCCTGGAATAGCGCTCGTTCGATCTCCATCTCCCGGCGTGACAGAGGCCGGCTGGCGGCGAAGCGCTGTGGGCGGGACAGGAGCTCGGCCCTGGCTTCAATCTTGTCTCTGATCACCTGCAGGCGCTGCTGCTTTGCACCTGGAGCTGCACACACACCATGGGACTGTGTGGGCACAAAGCCGGGAGACAGACATTAGTGCGTTGGACGAGGTTTATATATAGTATGTATACGAGTGTTTCCTCAGAGATGAAAAATGTTAGATTAGGGGCCACGTATGTACATGATTATACAAGTATATTTAATGCTTAATCGGGTTTATATTAACAGTTATACGTTTAAATGTTTCAGTAATGTGTTGCTTGATATTGTGTGTAAGTATCAGCTGTCACTTTTGGAGATTTGGAATAATTACATTTGTATGTATGTGGCTACATTAAAAGAATTAACAAACAGATCATACGGATGTAAATAAAATGACTTAGACATAGTTTCCAATCCATGCAACCTGAATGTGTATTGATTAAGAAAACAGGAGGAGAACATCCACACATTGCAGTTTCTCCTGTTCGGCTCCACCTCTCCATCGCCAGCAGGTTTTACCTTCTCCGGTGCATCTCTGCTCTGCCACAGCTGGATCTCGGTGTCGGTCAGGCCAAGTTCCCGCAAGCTGGCCAGCTCCTGCTCCCCGTCCTGCAGGGCCTGGAACTGGGACAGGCTCCTCACTCCAGCTGCCTGTTCCCCAAACGGCCGGTAGAGTGCCGACGGGGCGAAGCACTGCCTCTTGGCTACACATCTGTAAGACAGAATGTGTTTCAAAGGGAGATCTGAGGCTTTTTGCGAACACATTTTGATTCACTCAACGTCTCATGGCCTGAATGTTGTTTCTGATGTTTTACAGAACTGCCTGATAAAAAGACGGCTGAGTAAGAATATGTAGCCCTGAGGGTTGTGTATAAAACACCCTCCAGGCTGCTCTGTGGGACACTGGGAAGGCAACATAACAGCATTTTTCATAAAGCACAGAGAGCTCTGGAGGGAATAAAGCTGCAAACACTGCTGTCTCTTCCCACTGAGCTGCTCAGGAAGGTTTTATTAACACTGCTTATTGTTGTTTTATAGTCGCCGTGTGACGTCAAGGGAGAGGTTAACCATAATCTGCATTTGAATAAAGCTCTGGACAAATATTTTTGGAAGCAACAGAGCCAACATTTGATCTTTAACCCTGTGTTTAAAAATCAAACTGACCTTCATACAGATTCCTGTTTTGAGTGAGGAATGACAAGAATTTAAAATGTATGTCATGGAGAATGGCTATAGCTTTTATCTGCTAAATTGAGCTGAATTAAAAGAAAAAATATTTATTTTCAGTAATTATGTGTCCGAATATATAAATACTAAATAGGCTTTTACTATTTGTAAGGTCAGACATTGTCTTATAGCAGCTAGAGTTTAATGCTACTGTCAATTATCACTTGAAATCTACATACAGAATATTTTGCGTGTTAATTGTAGGGTATTTTTAGCAGAATGTATTGTGACATCGGTCCCACCGTACTGACAACATTAAGCAGAGAGAGATTGTATTGTGGTATATTTTGTATCTACAATTTGTCCCGACCACAGTGGCTGTTTGCACGACTGCGAGAACAATCTAGTTGGCAAACAAAGAATGTGGCCATAGGACAAAATATAGTGCTAGACTGTAAATCCACATGGAAACAAAACATTCCCATAGTTTATTATCAGGGAATGTCTGCGGAGGCTTGGACTGGACTTTCCCCACGCCTCCTGGAGATACAAAGACAGAGAGAAGAAAGTTTCTGACCGCTGGATGTCAACGTCAGTGTGGAGCTGCTGCAGCAGGAGGCTGTGGAGCTGCCGCTGGCCTTCCGTCTCCTGCTCCTCCAGCAGCGGGCCGTCCTCACAGGACTGCCGGCTCACTCTGGCCAACACAACACAAAGACAGCAGGTCAGACGCTGAGGGTGGATGCTTATACAACAGTAGGAAAAGGACACATCCACAGCCACCAACAGAGGGGTACTTTCAGGTTCTGCCCTTTGGTGGTGGCAACTAACTATTATTTTCATTACAGATTAATCTGACAGTAATCCGTAGATTACTGATGAATCTGATGATCGTTTTTTCCCCCCACTAAAAGTTCAAAGCCCAAAGACATTTAGTTTAATCGCATAAAAAAATGACTTACATGATTAAAACCTTTTCAAAATAGTAGCTAATTGATTTATAGAACAATCACTGAATTGATTGATTGATTATATAACATATAATGCCAGAAAATTATTCCTACACTGTTTATACTGAGGTAAGGATCTCTTTAAAATCCTTAGGTGTATGAAGCCATTACCGACAATATATAATCAATATGGGATTTACAGGATTTCTGCATCAGTGTCTTCAAGTAATTCAATGTTTAAGGTGTTTAATTCTGTCAAACACATACATTCCCAGCTTTTATTCTATTTTATAAACACAATAAAATGTCCAGATAATAGACTGAAACACCACAAAAATGATAAATAATTGGAGATTTCTCTTCTTCAACCCAACTTCTGTCTAAAGTGAACGAAAGAAAAGGTGTAACATGAAAGCTGTGCAGTTGTTATACATTAAACTACATGTGTTTTTCCAGGTTGACATTAAGAAAAATCTCATTAATGAGCCAGTGAAAGGTTAACAGACCACCTTAGAGTTAACTGGCTTTAAAGCAACAAGGAAGAAGGTTAACGCAACGTAGTGTTTTACTTCTTCCTACTTCGGACGTGTAATATGTATTTATGTTGTCTATTTGTTGTATAGTTAACTGTTATGTGAATAAAACCGTGAGTAACAAAACATAACACGACGGCAACAGAGTAGCGTAGCTGGCTGTAGCTATCTCCATGACAACGGCGTCGCCTGCCTGACGCAAAAGCGACGCACCGACTTTTAACTGGTATTTTCTGGTGACACTGGTTTCAGAGCGAGTCTCAAAGCAAACCCAGTTGATCCAAAAGCCGCAATTATTCTAAAAATCACTGGAATATCACACCGACGTCTGAAAGCTTTTGTTTACCTTCGCATGTTTCCGCCTTCCTTGTAGTTCCGGTTCCGACGCGTGGAATCACGGGAAATGTAGTAGAATCCGCCACATGAACAATAATAAACTATAAGCTGTTTTCCAGTGTTTACAGTCGAGGAAAAATAATGCCACATCTTAGATTTGGTGCATTTTAAAGGTGGAAACGGAGTCATGTGTATTATATGTAGTGCAGGAATAATAATAATTGAAAAGCCTATTAGGTAAACAGGTGTTTCTTTAACTGTATGTACTTTATATGGAAATTCACACCAGAGCCAACCTCAGCATGCTGCAGACATATTTTCTGTTATTAAATATCTAAAAAAAACTCTTTTACGAGCCACACTCCGCTTCATTAGAAAGGGAGTGGTTACCAAACACACGTGTATCATCAAACTTGGCTTGCCTTCCCTCCATCTAGGCCTATACCAGGCGTTTTTTTTAATCAAACGTAATGCTGCAAAGCCTCTATAGAAACCGCTCCTACCCTGCCCACCCAGCTTAAGTGTCCTCAATTAGCCTGCTGGGTGACGTCAGTAAGGTGACATGGGTGCCTCTCTTCACCATCTCTGAGCAATAAGCAGCCCGCCGCTGCAGCATGGCACTGATAGATGGGGATGTATGGATGCGAGCAGAGCCGTGCCGTGCTGGGTCGCATGCAGCTGACACTGGCCATGCATTAGTGCGCGGTTCTGCAGCAGCTCCTCTCCTCCCCGCTCGCCTGCCTTGCAGCCGGTGTCGGGTCGCCGGCAGCTCGGCTCCTCTGCAGGGCTGCAGGGCTGCGCAGCTCCTGACTGACAGAGAGATGAGGGGTGGGGACGCAGGGTGGGGTCACAAGCAGGGAGAGGCGGAGGAGGAAAAGGCAGAGAGAGAGAGCCCAGCCCTTGAATACACGGCAACAACACGCCGTCAGAGAGAGGGAGAGACACACAAGAGAGACTGGCTGTTTTTTGGGGGGAGCAAAGGGAGCCTTCGACGCTGCGGATATGAACTGAAAAAGAAACACTGGAAGAGGCAGGGATCGTGTTTCCTATATCCCGACAATTTACTGTAAAGGTGGAAAACTAGCCCCCCCAAAAAAACCCTCCTCTCTCCCTAACAGGTCTTATTCAGATAGAGCTACACCCAAAGCCCCGACCGACCCCCTCCTGCTCCTGCTGCTCCACCCCTCCGCCGCTGCACCGCTCCGGCAACCGAGATGCACACGGAGACCCGTAACAAGAAAGTAAGTGCACGTTATTGACTTTGCCCTGGTCAATGAAAAAAAAAAAAAAAAAAAAAAGAGTGCGTGGATGATCTGCCTGTACACAAGCAGAGCTGACATTGTCATGTGCCAAATATGAATGTCACTGAGTACATACGCACAGAAGAGTCAGCTGCGACTGTGGGCAGTTTATTTTGCAATTAGTGGAAGAGTTTTGTAACAACGACCTCATTGCATTGCAAGAACAGCACGCTGAGAGCGCTGTCATTTCCACGGTTTATACGGAAACCTCTCTCTCCCTGCCTCTCTCTCTGTGTGTGTGTGCGAGGTTAATTCAGGTTCAATTTTAAATGCTCTGTGATCTCTGAGAGGCAGGAAGGAAACGGAAGGCAGAAACTGCAGCTTGTAGGACACCATCTTAGCTTTTAAAGGGCCAGCAGCCCCCTGAAACACACACACACACACACACAACCACACAACCCTGGGAAGCAGCCAGGTGCACTGCCTCCAGCTACACACACTGCATGGGCCCTGCTGCCGACTTGTGCCTTTAAATGAGTCTTTGCCTCATCAGGGTATGTTTATGTGTCAGTGGCTGGCATACTCTAAAGTAAATTAAATCTGGCGGGTGATCAGACTGTTGAGCTGAAAGCAAACACCACTCTGTCCACTCTGCAGCTTCAGATCTGTCTGCTTGATGGTTTTCGCAGCAGATGATGGAGATAAGTTACAGTTCCAAGTTCCTCAATTAAAGGACGCAAACTTTGACCTGCGGATTTGCATGGCCCGACTAATAGTGGCGATTGTGTCTTGTGTTTGAGCATGGATTTGTTTGATGGGGTTTGGCAGTGTGCAGTACTACGTTCAGACTAACACACTGCAGTATCGCTCCTGCTCTGTTGGTCATTTTATGATATTTGTTAACTTCACTTTCGCTCTGTTCAGTATTTTGTGCGTTGGAGCATTGGTGACATCACATCAGCGTGGAGAGGGGGTCAGTTTGGTTGAACTGAAGACAGGTTTGACCTAATCATCACTCTACTGTGGCTACGACAATACAATATTTTCCCTATCAATTCTCAAGTTTGTTAACATAAAATGTCAGAAAATAGTTATCACATTTTCCCGAAAAGTCTTAAAACTGCACAACCAACAGTGCAAAACCCAACGATATCCAATTCATAGTGATATTAAACAGAGAAAAGAGTTAAATTCTTACATTTCAGAAGCTGGAACCTGAGTGTATTTAGCATGTGTGCTTCATAAATAATGTTTTTAACGATTTATTTTCTGATGATTGACAAATTCATTAACTGACAGCAGTTCCAGCCTTACACTCCACTGAAGTAAAGTTTAGTTTGCAGCCTGCAGCCATTTGTATGACATTGCTCGCAAGTTGCAGGCGATGCTGGTATAAATTACTTGGTGTCTAATAAGCCTCTGCAGGCGTGGAAGCCAGTTGTGGCCGTTCTGTTTGCTCCTTCCCTGCAGTTGTGTGGACACATCGAGTTTATTGACTTCAGGATGGGATGTAATATACTTGGGCGGCTTCCCAAAAGCTAACGGCTCATTCTGACACCATAATAATTTACTAGATGTACTATGCAGATCCTTTGCACTGCCTTGTACCAACCCTGAATTTCACACACTTTTCTCTATCAAGTCTCTTTTCTTTTAGGGTGCTACTTTAGGGAAATAATAGCTAACATTGTCAAGCGAACAGGGACAAACCTTTCTTAGAGGTATAACTGCTATGGAAGTTGTAATAGGTAATCTCATTAGTGGTGTGAAACCAAAATGAGCAAATGTTCCAGTTAGTTCACCTAACTGGCAAAGATGACTAAAACAGAGATGGAAAGGATGTTTCATCAATTCAAGTTTTCTTCCTTATCTTGATAGCTAACGCCACGGGTTAGTGCTGCTGGTCTTCATCATATCTCTTAAATGTCACATTTTTTCCCCACTGAGCTTCACCAGAGCAGCTCCGCCTCCAGGTAAAGGTGGTTTAGCAGAGCTAGTGACTTAGCTGTACCCTGCCTAAGTTTCCCTTTTGTAAAAATCTGTATGAAAGGTCAAAGTACTTTGGGCTCCAGGGCAAACATGTGACTCATTTGCTCAATGAAGGGCTTTTAACTGAAAGTGGAAACCAACAGATCTATCTGTAGCCTCGTGACTGAAGAAGACCGCTGTTATCCCTACGCCGCATTACCCTGCCATTTCAAATGTAGTAACCACAGTCAGTCACTTTTATTTGGCGAGGTGTTGTCATGACTACTCATTTACAATTATAATTAGCCTCAGTGAAACCATTAGATACAAGAGGTGCATTTATGATATTATGTCGCATGTCAGTAACCCAGGCACTGCATATGAACACCAGCACAGTCACAGTACATCTGCAGAAATGTGCAGCAAGTATCGCGCTGGAACACTTAATCCTCTGTAGGTTTCAAACACAGTGGAAAGGATGCAAGCAGAGCACTGAGCACAGAGCTAACTGCAACATGTTGGTGTTACAGCTGCACAATTGATCGAAATTGTAATTGCAATATGGCCAAATTCAATATTCAAATTGCGGGAACTGCACACTTTTGATAAAGGTAATTTGCAAAATATTACATCTATGAAGAAGACATAGATGTGTTTACCAGTTGCAGGTAGCAGCGTAACTTAAAGTGGCTGAGCCTTGCAAGTCAAAGTTATATGGCAAGTGTGTTATATTAAAATAAAAGTCAGTTAAAGCTTTGACTTTGCAGTTCACATGCTGTGGGGGTCTATGATGGTTTATTTGCATTACACAGAGCTCTTCACTGGTGCTGTTGGTTACTGTTATCTGAGATCCAGTACAGGTCCCAGCGTGATCCAAGTTGGAATTATTTTCCGTATAACCGGGGCGGGTAGTGTCCCCTTCTGTCGCTTGTATCTAAGTGTAATATCCCCTAAATGGATCCCAGTTTTTTTTTTAAGCACATGGCGAGTGTGAACTGTGAAGTGCTCTTTTAATATTTTTGATCGGGTTTTATTATCCTCAGATTTCTCTGCAGATGTCTTCTGTGTGCATCTTCTTCTCAGTGGAAAGAGTTTCTGTAGGTGGCACACTTTCTCATTCAAACTGCCAAATGTTCTTCTGTTTATGCTAGACAAATCAGAAAATGCATCCCTGCCTGTGTGGTGGAGAATGTTTTCTCTTATAAAGAGCTGCGTAACAGGTACTGTCTACAATAGTGACTGCAAAAGCTTTTATGAACTATAATTAGAACAGTTAAATACACATAAATGTTACATCAGTCAGTCGATTGTAGAAAACCAGACATTTATTTACACTTTTTAAATATTGTGGGTTATTACTTTAAATTATTTGGTGCACTATCGCTTGTTTAGACGTAATAAATCAGTGTAATATTGTACAAATAACAGCATGTAAGATGAATATGATGGACCACACAGTAACAGTAGTGATACGTGTGTGTAACTGTTCTCTGAATGTGTAGAAACACTCAACTCTTTCTTTCTTTCTACTCGTTCTCACTTTCTGTCTTTACTTGTACCTTTGACCCAGATAACTGTTTTTGACTCTGTGGGAGTGGAAATCAATTTCCTTCTGTCACAGTTAAGACTGTGCATTATTGGAAGTGTAGTTAACTGATAGCAGTGCAGTGATTCTGCATCACAATGGCACAACTGAGCATGCTCCATGGTGTGTGTGTGTGTGTGGTTGGGTGTGTGTGTGTGGGTGTGTGTGTGTGGCTGTGTGTGCTGCTGGTTGTGGGTGCAGGAGAGAGAGAGAGAGAGAGAGTGTGTGTCCTGGATCAGCTGGGCTGCAGACGTGAGAGCAGGGTCAGCTGTACATTCCTGGGCAGGGCATCGGCAGCAAAGGGCCCTTGAATACAAAGTCTGTCTGTGTGTGTGAGAGATGGAGTGTGTGTGTGGGTGTGAGTGTGCGTGTGTGTGTGTGTGTGTGAGTGTGTGTCAGCAAGTGAGAGAGAGAACTGATGCTACACAGTAGGCAATGATTAACTCTGGTGAACAAAGTTTGATCAAACTACTGAGATAATGGATGTATATGTATATCCCCCGTTACACTGCACTACACACACTGTACACACATGCACATGTTACTGAGTTGTCAGCATGACATGAATGGATGGAGAGGTCAGAACCGGCCAGTTGTTGCCAGCGTGTCACCCCAGCCTTACAAATTCAGTTAAAAGAGCAGTTAACCAGTCAGATTGACACTAACATTATAGTTTGATGAAATGGGGGAAGAAAATATACTTTCATCTGGAACATTTTCAGCAGTTGTATACTTTCTAAACTGATTGACACATCGGTGCAGGTGAATTGCATGTTTCAGCTCATCATGCAAACTTTACAGCACTGCTAACAGGGGTTATGACTCAATTTACTGCGATGTATTGCAATACTGTAAGCAGTGTGATATATATTGCATATGCATACATCAACATCATAGCCTTAAGTTTACATTTACAACACTGCTATCTTATGGTTGGAGGTTTAAGCACAAAAAACAATACAGTATTTTTCAGAACCGATACATTATGGCAGTATGATATTTTTTGCAATATTTTTTTACACCCCATTGTTGACTACAATCTGCCTGTTACAACAAGTACCATATGTTTTCTATTTGATTTTGTAGCTTCTATGCAACCATTCGTTTCAGTTAATTTCAGTACATCACAAAAACCAACTTGAAGAGACTTGTAGTAGCTGCTGTGTATAGGTTGTTCAACACAGTGGACCATTAGTCACCTTTATCTTTTGTCTAGTCTTGTTATTTGTTGCATGGCAATGCATCAGGATTTGCTTTGAATTAGAGTTTGCTTATAGTTATATAAATGCAGTCAGACGCAGGAGGAAGTGTATTTTAACGCAGGTTTTCCTTGTGTCATTTAGAAGTTACTTCATAGGATTGATTGTGTTATTGTTTCACATAAATCAGTCCCTCCCTACCTTTAGTCACAGGTATGTAGTTGGTTACATCACAATTTGGTTGAGTC